GAGGTGGGAACTTGCATAGAGGAATATAGCTGAGCAGGGGCGTTTTGGAAAGGCCAAAGCTAAACATTTGAAGGTGGCCGAGGAATTGGCCAAGTAGCACACCACCGAGCCGTATGGACCCTGCCGCCATATCTTTAGTGTATGGGGCAAGGGTGGCACAAGCTTGGGCGACGAACGTTATGGTGGACAAAACTGTCGAGTTGATCTTGAAAAGGTAGAGTGCAGTTGCAACGTCCCTCAGATCATGCATGCCCCTTGCTCTTATATGATCACAGCCTGCAGGGTTCGCGGGTACAACTATGAGGATCTGCCATATATGTCACCCTTGTATCTCCGTTTGAACACCATTAGTATTTGGGAGATGAGCTTCGAGTCATACCTTGACCCAACACAGTGGCCACCTTATAATGGTTATGACTACGTGTCGTATCCGGATCTAATGAAGGTAGGGAAGGGTAGGAGGAAGAAGAAGCGACTCAAGGTGGACATGGACGCTATGAGAGGGTACGACGAAGACTTATACGGAGGGGGAGACTTCAACAAGACCCGTGGCAGGAATCTTTCCTCCTTTTGCAAAGAATCTGGTCACAAGGCTAGCAGGCATAGAAGACGAGGGCAGCAGGTGCTTTCATATTATGTTCGTATTGCATAACAAGTAGTTCAAATTTTACAATGCTACATAATTTTAATTCGAATATTATTAATTTGAATACTCTAACCCTTTGTATATCAATTTGTAACAGGATGGCTTCTCCCATGCTGCACCAGATGTACCCCCTTCTTGAGGTGGAGTACGACGACCCCTTTCTTCCACCGGACGATGAGGTTTCGAAGAGGCGTTCGAGGGATCCTTACATTCCTGGGACTTAGTTCGTTATGTCATACTTATGTCGAACAAATATTATCGTCAAAAACTTGCAGACTCATGAACCGATGAAAATGTTATGTGGTAACTTGTCCATTTATCTGCTTCATATTCGTTTCAACTTGCGCATGGTCGCGGCAGCACTTGTAGTTGTTTACAGCATCGACAGCAGCTCCCGTTCAGTTGCAATTGAGGCTGGTCGGTTTCTGTCCGCGTCCAGGTGCTGCCACGCCGTAAGGCATGGCACGTCACTGTCGCGTCGTGGGCTATGGCGCGGCAGAACCTAGGCTATGGCATGGCAGAACCAGTGCCTAATTGTATTTGAAATAATTTCACTCGATTATGTTCGTTTTAGAAATTCTCAATGCATGATACAAACGGATGGGATCACTTAAGATCGACCATGGGAAATCCGAGTACATGATACATGGGTACAATACATCAATAGTTCAAATGGAAAATAAGACAACACGATGAAATTTCTAGTACATAGCTACATTGATCATTAATAAAACATGGAACTAATAGACGACGCAATCAAAAACCCTTAGTCAGAAACATACTGAGTAAGCAACTCGTCGTCCGAGTTCCAATCCTCAACTACAACCCTGTTGCTAAGGCTAGGCTCACCTGTATTGCCCTGATCTGCCTTTCGCCTGTAGTAAGCGGTCTCCGCTTCATCTGCGGCCTGAGACAAGAACACGTTCTCTTCCTCCTCCGCCTATAAGCCTGCCTCTGCTAGAGCGATGAGCTCGCTCAGTCTGCCAGTGTCATCCTCAGCCTCCTCCACCTACAAGCCCGCCTCTGCTAGAGCGATGAGCTCACTGAGTCTGGCAATGTCGTCCTCATCCTCGTCCCCCTCATCAGACAACACAATCGGTGATTCAACGGTGCGACCAGCTCGCTTTCTGTGCTCATCTAACTTGTCTGCACCATCGATCCACTGAAAGAAAACGCACCTCTCATGGGCCTACACAACAAAATTCCAACAAAATATTTGTAACCTAGTAATACAAATTAAGAAAAAAAACATACGGAAACAATTACTTACATTAAAACGACTGCATATGTAGAAGCAACGAACCGCTGTGTCTGGATGTCTCGATTGAAACACGTCGACCGGACGACCACAGTCACAGTTAGGGACAGGGAGGTCAGGAGGGACATGTGCATCTTTGCTAGACTCGTCGGGGTACAATTCTTTAGGACGACCCGTTTTCGCCACAACTGCCCCCGAAACATGTCTTCCATCTAATAAAACGGTTCAAATTAAACATCAATCAAAACAACACAAATTATTGTAAAATATAATCATTTGCATTGCAACTAAAATAATATAACCAACATTTATAGAAAAAAAATATACATGGTAAACATACTTCTAACTAAATAATTATCCTTAACATTAACAAAATCAAACTAATATCTTCCTCCAAACCATAGTCCATAGTTCCCAAACATAGTTTTCCTCATAACCTTAACTCCCATTCATAATATTCCTATCCACCGTTCAAACTAAAAAAAAGTGCATCATTACCTTGAACGAGACTGAGGAGGGAGGGAGGCGGCCGGGGAATGAAAGGGAAAGGAGGGAGGGAGGCGGCTGCGGGTATGCGGGCTGGCGCTGGCGCGGCGGCGGGCGCGGTGGCCAAGGGCTGGCGGGCGCGAGCAGGCGGGCTTGCTGCTCGGGCAGGTGGGCCTTTTATTCGGCTCTGCCGCGTCACCGATCAGGGCGCGGCAGAGCCGCGCCAAGATCGGTGGCGCGGTAAGCCGTGCCACGTTACAGGTCAGCATTTCCGGTCGTCGCCACTTCAGCCACCCGCCGCGCCACCATGATTTGGCTGCGCCATGGCAATAGGCGCGTCCAAAAGTGTTAGTTTTGAAGAAAAAAAACAGTGTTAGATTTAAAATTAGTTTAAAAAAGTGTTAAAATTAAAAAAAAAATCACCGACGAAGGGCTTCTCTACCACTCCATGCCACCATGTGATCCAATTCCAATCTGAATCGCACAGTTGATAAGCTCCTCATGCAGCCACCGCTCTACCAGTTAACCACCACCAAGGCCACGAGACACGAGAGGATGAGTCGGACGGCTGAGAAGCAGAGCAGAGAAGCAACGGCCATGCGGGCAGCTGCTACGTGGGCAAGGCCACCAAGATCTTCCTCGCCCTCCTCGCCGTCGTTGGCGCCATCCTCGCCTTCCACGCCGTCCTCCACCATGTCGCCCTCGCCTTCCGCCGCCGACGCGTGCCAGCCCATCCTGCCAAACACCGATCCCACCGACCACCAGCCCGCAGCCCGCGCCCACGCCTGCACCTGTGCAAAATCCCACCTTTCCCCTCCCTGGACGGCCAGCCAACTAGGGACGGCCATGGCCACGACAGGAAGAAAAGTGTTTTTCTGCGCGACCACAAGTGCGCGGATTTTTTCGTGTGGGTATCATTTTTTTCGAGCGCTAAAAGATTGAGAGCTGGTTTGAGAGTTGTTGGAGATGTGATTTTTCAGTCTTGCCAAAATCATGGGATTGAGAGTGTATTGGAAATTTTTAGAGATGCTCTAATAACTTATAGAAAAAAACTTATAGAAAAAAAAGAAACCGGAACATTACAAAAGATGGCATGGCATGGAAACGTGGTGCGGCTACGTACGCAAGCAGCGGACGATATGACATACGAACGCCAGGGTCAAAGCCGCGGTCAGAGCACACGAGGATTTCGTTTTTGAACGTGCAATGGTCGATCTGTGGCGTCACTGCCGTGCTGCATCGGCTCGTCGACTACTGAATTCTCTGACCCGTTGGGTCTACATTGTTGAGCAGGGAGTCCAACTTCCTAGAGTGTGCCACAAGTCCTGACTGACGTGACGACGCATTGTGGAATGTGGAGTTCCGTCTGGTGTTTCATTTCAAATCCGTACGCCACGATATATAGACTGTAAGTACTCCCATCGTCACAAAATAATCGTATATTTAGGATCCAAAATTTTTGTCCCAAAATAAATGAATGAATGGCGCACGATTTCATGTTCAGCAGCAGGCATGTGAGACTGAACCAAATTAAAAAAGGAAACCGATGGTAGGCTCTCGCCCTCGCGTTCTCTACTTCTATTTTCATGCACAGTCACACCAAGACTCCTGTCCACATACATATAGGGGTAGTATCGTCATTTTACTTTACATCTTGGTTTTCACGCTTGTTCCTACAATACTACTAACTTATTTTGAAACGGAGAGAGTACGCGGTAGCACTTGTGCCATTAGGTTGCATGTAGCATGTACTCTCCCCGTCGAAAAATATAATTCTTGTTTTTTAAAGTTAGATAATTTGGAGATTGATCAAATCTAAACAATAAGTACTAATATTTGTACATAAGTAAGTATTATTAGATTAATTCTGAAAATATTTTATAGTAAAAGAATTTGACTGATTCTAGATCTAGAATTGCATTTTCTTTAGGACATACTCACTCCGTCCCAAAATAGATGATCTTATAGAATTCAAATTTTGTCCTAAAATACTTTACTCTCATTTTTCAATGTAACTTTCTTTTTTCACAATACATCTCTTGTCTCTACTCTTAAGGGGTATTTAGTTTTTTGCCTTCTACGTTGGTTTCTGTGAGAGATTTTAAAACGTCATGTAATACGTGACAGGGAAAGTAGAGAGGATTATTCATCTTTTTTTTTCCTAAAAAATGTGTATATAATGTGATGTTTGAGAATATATGCAAATATGACCTTTAAAAATAATAAAAAAATATATGCATGCAAATACAAATTAAGCTCAAGTATGCACCTGAAACGAGGCACGTATACGAAGAGACCAGTTTCATGCACTACTAGTTGCTACCTATATATTCCTACAACTTTTACCAGCTATTACAAGCACTACGCAAACCTTAGTAATAGTTTGCATATAAAGAACAAAAGAAACCCGTCGAATGATATATTAAACCCGGCCGTTAATTAGTTACTAGTCCAGTAGTCCTGTACTCCTGTCCAGCATGCATGCAAGAGCGGATGACCGACATCAATTTGAAGCCTCCCTCTGTGAATTCTGAAACCAGCACCGGGTGACAGGGATCGGCGCGGCCGGCCTGTTACTCCCGGCGCACGGCACGTACGGCGCCTCCGCGCCTAGTGTCCGTCGCCGGGGCTCGGGCCGGAGTTCTTGATCCCGCCGAGCATGTCGACGTTCATCAACCTGCTGCGGCCTGCAGCACCGCCGTCTTGCTCCGCCGCGGTCCCGACCACCACCGTCTGGATGATGTAACCCACCGGCGGCGACTCCACCGTATGCTGCGCACCATCCCCCTCTGACGACGACACCTTCAGCGGCCTGGTGGTACTCGCGACGGTCGCTGCGAGCCACAGGCACGTCGCGAGGAGCAGGCCGACGACGCCGGCCGGCGCTCGCGACCTGATGTTGAGCCTGTTGGTGGCCGCCATTCTTGCCGTCGACGGATCGATCAGACGAGGAGCGCTAGCTACTCTGTGAGTCTCAGTCGTCTGTGTGCGCTGCGCACTTTGACACTGATAGCAAACTCATACGTGCGTGTTTTTGTTGCCAGTGCAGACGACGACTGTGTGCCTGGTTTAATTTGCACCCGAGCCGTGGCGTTCTGGGGTTTATATAGCCAGCAGCGCCACAGCCCCGGAAGTAGGAGTAGGTTTGCGTGGTCCTTGGTCTCCTGGCAGGCATTGACCGAACGGCGGCCGGCCGGTCACCGGTGGCGTCTTTGGAAATCGGCAGCTCCAGGCCAGGAGCCCGGGCCGGCCGGTGATCTGATGACCGCCAGAGGAGGGAGCTAGGAAGCGTCGTGGAAACGACACGGGGGCGCGCGTGTACGTACGAGGTCGCCGTGCCCGTGCACGCACAAGCTCTTCTCTTCTTCCGGCCAGGTGCGCCGCGCGGTTGGAAGTTGGGGCGTGGAAGTTAGAACCGCGATCGAGAAATTCCGCGGTCCCGAGTGCGGACTTTGAAAATGCAGCCGCCCGGGGCGCGGGCCGACGCCGACGTGGCAATGCAAAGAGGTCGACGATGACGACTCGACGAGAGAGAGACCAGTGCACCACTCGCTCAGTTTGGTTAGTGGCGTGGCCTGCTGAGCCTCTGGCCGGCCTCCCTGCACACTTGTGCAAATTCCGGGTGAAAATCTGAAGATTGGCTACAGGGGAGTAGAGGATGATGCGTAGGAGTAGATTGTAGGTGGGGAGCGAGGGCGACTGAAAAGCCCACGCGCGGGTAGAGAAGCTACGTCCGGACTCCGGACCGGAGCCCGGGCGGATGCTGACGTGACGCGTGTGTGTGGTGCCACTGGTGGGCCGAGACCGACCGAGCCATTTCTGACTCGTCGGCTGCTGGTCTCTTCGGCCGCGACAGGTACCGTTTAGTTGGCAAAATTTTTTTTTAGCGAAACACCACTGTAGCACTTTCATTGTTATTTAGCAATTAGTGTCTAATCATAGTCTAATTAGGCTTAAAAGATTCGTCTCATGAATTTCGTCTAAACTGTGTAATTAGTTTTATTTTTTATTTATATTTAATACTTCATGCATGCGTCCAAAGATTCGATGTGACGGAGAACCTTAAAAAATTTGGCAAAATGAAGTGCAACTAAACAGAGCCTCGCTATAGCTCACCAGACACAATGCCTCAGCAGTCTATTTATCAAAGACATCTACAAGGCCGACACACCCGGTTGTTGGTCTCTTCCTCCTCCGTAGCAACAGGACGTTTTGACATTTCTATATACATTCTTTTTACTACGTATTTAGACATAGCGTATCAACCAAAAGGCCTTATAATTTGAAATGGATGAAGTATTTAATCAGGAGCTCCTTCTCCAACACACGAATCAGACAAGGACAACCATGTGCCAAAGTGCACTTGTGATACATTTTGCAGCGGAAACGATGGATGCTATATATTGCTACTCTAGAAAGGTCGATCCATACATCATGTTAAATTCTTTATGGGTTTGTTTGGCAGAAATTGTATTCACCTCAATTTACGTTTATTGGAACGAAAATTTGTTTATTTCACATCCCAATCCATCCTAAAACCTAATATATGTGGATTAACAAACTCTGGTGCATGCATCAAGGGCTGCTCAATCAGAGTTTGTTAAATTCATGCATGCACCTGGAAGTACACTACTCCACTGTGCTGCCAATTACCATACTGTCTAATGTGTTTGGGTCAAGCTAACCGGCTTTCCCGCTAACTGCAAGACCTTTCAGCATTTGCCATATATACCGAGGAACATCTACGGCTGTGGATAAAAGGATCGATGAACACTCCACACTTGGCTACTAGCTAGTGTCAATAATGAGATCATTGGAGTTAGCTTGCATGCGTGCATATTGGAAATAATGCACTTGGCCGGAGAGTTGACAGGGTTTCCCACTCATCAGGTGGTCGGCACGCAGATCACACGTTGTGTCATCCGCACTCACTTGTCCAGTCATTTTTGGTAGTGGAGGAGGAGGCGGTAGGATCGCGTGACACGCTACGCAAATTAGGCTGCCCGTCTCGCAGAATTGTGTGCTCGATCATATGCGCCATGCATGGAGCATCGTTGTCGAAGCTCCGTGTGCCTCTCAAGAGATATACATACGGACATACCAGTGTTGGATCATTCAATGGATCATCACTATGCTGATTTTCTGCGGATGAATACTCCCGTTTGGAAATTTCTAAGAAGATTAATAAGATGAGAGGCTGGGCACTTTGTTCCCCGGGAGCTCTTGCCTCTTGGCATTCCACTGGTCAGAACGCTGTTGCGTGCACGCCGACCACAGTAATTTCAACCCTAAAACCACCTGCTAGCTTTCATATTTGTAATGTCAACAAGAAATTTCTTCTCGAAACTACACCACCCACAAAGCATGTTAGAAATGTGTCGAATATTTATTTGTACTGATGGGTTACATTGAACTTGTGTTGTACACTATGTAGAAAAACGTTTTTAGGGGCGGCTGGTAACCGTTTGTAGGGGCGGTTTTGCCAGCCGCCCCTATGAAAGGGTGGCTACAAATCATGCATTTGTAGGGGCGGTTGGTATTGTAGCCACTCCTACAAATCAATTTATAGGGGCGGTTTGAGAACACCAGCCGCCCCTACAAATCGATTTGTAGGGATGGCTACAGTACCAACCGTCCCTACAAATCATTTTTTCGCCAAAAAAAAAATTAAATTTACAATTCAAATTCGACGGAAGGGCTGCTTAGCATACGGTTATTCATCTTAGCACTTTCACAAAGACATGAAAGACATGAAAATGATACTGAGATACATGGATGATTTTTCCTTTTTGATATCATAGTGCTTAGCATACAGTTGGTATGATATTCCAGGAAGTATCACAATATAAACTTCGGTGATATTCATGGATTATAGAACTAGTGAACACACAATAAATTTATAGAACAAGTGAACACACGATATAAACTTTGATATTATAATTAAGACTTCGCAGGGACATATGTAATCCCTGGCTCCTATACTTACTGTTGTTGTTGCTGCTGTGGTGGTGGAGCTTGAAACCTTTGTGGTTGCCGCTCAAACTCTTGCTGTTGAAGTGCTATAGCTAGCTCCAGATTAGAGCTGCAAGCATAGGAGGGCCAATGTGGTAGCGTTAGAATTTAGATAACACATGCAAAGTGACTCAGGAGTGCACATCTATGATGATTCAGCACGTTGAGCACATTCAAAATCACATTAAGGCATATATTGGTCATTCAAGTACATGCAAAGCCGACAGTCCAATACACAATGAGAAAAACCATCAAATAGTCGAAGTTCAAGAAAGTTATTGCGCTTGGTTAATAGCAACAATCAACAGATCAGAAAAGAAACTATAGCTTCAACTAGCATATCATTTATAGCCCTACTGACGGACATTTTCTGCACAGTACCATTCATACAAGATTCACATGGTTGCTGAAATCTAAACTAGGAATGTTGTACACACACAACAATAAAGCACATTGAGAAAACAGGCAGGAAGAACATACTTTCCAGAAGTGTTGTCAAATTGAGCAAGATAATTCTGTGAACAAAGATAAATTTGAACTAGTTAACATTAATGTACCTAATAACAACTACAACAGTTTATTGATGTCATACATACAGCAGTACTCGTCATAGCTTGCTGTTCATTCCATGAATCATTTCTTGGAGTTTCAGCCTTAAAGGGTGTGAAGTTGCTGGTAAGAAAAACCCCATCTCCATTCACCTGATGATTGCCAGTTGAGAATGAAAAAGATCAGTAAAGATTTTGATCTCAAGCGAGAATTAAAATAATCACAGGAGTTAACATACCTCATCCAACCTTTGCCATACCAAATCAGTTTGGCTTATAAAACCTTGATAAGTTGCTAGGAGATATAGACTTCCATTGTACTGCAGAATAAATATACATAAGAAATAAAGACAGCTCCAGTTCAAGTACTCAAATTACGGAAGAAGACACGAAGCTCACTTTCGTTAAGTCCCTCTTGTAAACAGAAGAGACTGCGACAATGAAATTTGACAATGTGATAAATGAGAATACAATTGAGAACATGCATTTAAACCATAGATTATTAGAAATATACCCATAGACAGTCAGCTGGTTAGCAGTGGTCTGCAGAAAATTATCAATCAGCTCCCCTGAAAATAAATCAATTTAAGTGTGAAGCCAAATATAGTAATTCTTGCGTTGTACAAAGAGATTCACGCATGTACAAAAGTCAATAACAAAAAAAATCTCACATTGATGTTCCGTGGCCTTGTCATCCACGGAAGGGCTGCTTTCCCAGTCTTGTCAGCCTGCTCAGCAAGAACCACCTCCCCCTCATACTAATCTACTATAGTCCAACACTCCAACTCCAATCCGATACAACCAAGCAAATCAAAACGTAAATGAAATGACTGTTAAATTTACATGTAAAAAAGGAATGTCACTTTTAAAAAATCATAAAAGGGTTTTTTTACGACCCTATAAACAATTGGATCCCTCCCAATATTAGGACCGATTCTGTTTCCTAACCCTGAGAGTAAGCCAAAGAAGCATTCCTCAACTGCCAATGTTAACATGTTCCTCAACAATTTAATATTTTGGCAAATAAATTGGCAAGAATCCATTGACAAAAAGAATTCGCATAACAAAATCAGTAGTTTCTTTATCTAAGCAGGCAATACGTCCTCAGAAACTAGAAGCGTGTGTGCCTAGTATATATAGTTCCAGCAATGATAGTATTCTAACTAGCATATTGCTACAAGAGTGTGAAGCCCTGCATACTTACCTAGTGGCACTTTAAGCCCCTCTGAAACAACATCCCTTATAGGGCTAGGAAGTTGTTGTAGAGCTCCTGCAGTTTGGCCAAGCAAGCCCTTTAACTGTTCAGGCAATGATTCTTCATTGATTCTGGGAATCTCTATAAGGCCCTCAACGTATTCCTCTTTCATTCTGATGGGGCCCTCAACAGACAATTGAGTTGTCAGTAGGAACTTGCTTTGTATCTGGAAACATAAAAAAGGAAGTTGCTAAATAGTGAGAATGGCAGTGCAACAATAAAATAATCCCCAATCACACAGAAACATTCAGCTTGCAGATAATACAGATACTAATGTGTACTAATTTCAAAAAAAAATACAGATACTAACGACCTGCTAATAAATGACTTCAGCATAATTATGAAGTATCCTCAGCTTATGGAAGCTTTTGCGCACAATCTGTTACTAACACAGATATAGACACAGACTGGTTTTATTATAAAAGGTGAATCCTGCATATTGTAACTTGTAAGCGATACTGACTTGCCAGGCACATAAATGTCATATAGAACCAATAAACTTAAGAATCAAAGATGGATCCCATAAACTATGCAAAAATAGTAGGTACACTCCTAAAATATTCTGGCATTACCGTATTTAGAAACTTGAGGTTAGATGAGAGCTTGGAGTATCCATCCTTGATCGACACATCAAGTCCCGTAAAGTGTGCAACAGCTGTAGGTGACCTCCTTCAAATTAGAACACACATGCTATCAGGAGAAGCTTGACTTAAAATGAATTCAAGTCAAATGAAATATTGAAATTATAACTTGCACCCAACAAACAGTGACAGGGACATACTCAAACAAAAGACGGGCCGCAAATGCTCCAGGACTGCTATCACCAAACCATTCAAAGTCTCATCGACCTTCCAGAAACGGCGACCTGCAAAGTAAATAGAAGGAATTCAAGTTAATGTAATATGCTTACACAGAAAAGCTTTTTTGGTCAGAATGAAAGAAAGTTCATCTCATCTTAGTGCTTAAATCATAGGGTTACTATGAAAATTATCTCAAGCAAGATACAGCACATAATACGTTTTTTGTTAGCCATAACACTTACGTTGTGGGGCGTGGTGTCGGATTCAGGCGTTCAAGTCCAACAATTCGCTCATTGACATCGATCCTCTGCATCTCAGTAGTCTTCCCGCTGACCAAGGCCTCAAAACCCCAGCATCTTTAAACTGAAATTGGTATGAAGAAATTCACATACCCTAGTTGAGAAATGCCTCAAAAGTTCAGTATCAACTAGCTGTCATTTCACAAGTCGGACACACAATCATGGAAAAATATCATTTCCATGCTGAGATTGTGGAGAGAAAAAAATCAAAGTGAAATTTAGATTAAAATTGCAGGTTAGAATTTGACAGTATCGCCTACAATTTGGTACGGTGTGGGGACAAGAGCCTCCCGTAGGCACCGCACAGGAAGGTCAGCAAGTAGTACTAGGCGAGGGACTGAGAAGAGCAGAGGAAGAGGAAGAGCAAGAACTCACGGCAAGGAGCAGGGACTCCTTGGCGGAGAGGCGCTCCATCTCGCGGGCGTAGCTGGTGGCGGCGCCCCCTTGGAAAGTCTGGGCCGTGGCTCTGCAGCGCCCCGCGGAGTAGCGGGGGCGGTGGGGAGAGAGCTAGTTCTCTAGATCCGATACGCAGCAGCTTTGTAGGAGGCGGCCTCGCCGGATCTGGGGGGTGTGCCACCGAGGTCGCCTAGCCTCCTTGGCGACGCCAGCGAGGTGAGGCCATGGAGGGCCTCTCTGAATCAACCGGGCTTCGTGGGAGCCGGCCCCTTACCGGATCTGGCGACCACTAGACTCACGAGCCACCATGCCTAGATCTCGGCCTCTGTGGAGCCGTCGTGGTTGGGGGATGGGGAGGGATGGTGGCGGCGGAGGAGGAAGAGGGGAGGTGCGGCGGCGGCGTAGGTGTAGGGGAGGAAGAGACGGCGGAGGTGGCGACGGCGGGGATGAGAGAGAGAGAGAGAGGAAAGGATCAGAGGGGAACGGGACCGGACCGGGACTAGGGACTGGGAGATATTTGTTGTACAAGTGATTTGTAGGGGCGGCTGGTGATTGAGCCGTCCCTACAAATCGTAACACTGGGGGCGGCTGGTGAGTGAGCCGCCCCTACAAATCGACCCTATTTGTAGGGGCGGCTCGTATTATTAGCCGCCCTACTGTGCTATTTGTAGGGGGCTGGTCTAATGGCTCCCGAGCACGCCACTGTAGGGGCGGCTCCATCACCAGCCGCCTCTATAAAAAATTTATCCCGTTGTTACAAATCGTTTTTCACGTAGTGGTAATTAGCAGTATAGTCTCCTGTGCAGTGTGTGCGATCTCTCGTAAGCATCTTGCCTAGGTAGATCCAAGCAATCGCATCCGCGTTAGGAGCCGATATGATATCACAACAAAGCATGATTTTTTTTTAAATTTTGGCACGGGCGCTTAATGAATCCATCCTATCCACTATTTCTCCTGCCTTCTATATCCTATCATTTTCTCCCTCTTCTCTCTCTTGTTCTCTTCTCCCAAACCGCCACATTGTTCCTACCGCGAGGAGAGGGAAGTCCATGGTGATGGAGTCCGTCTCATTGCCTGAGCGCGTGGCCAAGTCGGTAGTGGTGAAGCCCACAAGGACATGTTCTCTCGTTAGTGGTCTTCCTTCTCCACCTGCTCGTCACGGTACACTATAGTAACATCGCAAATTACAGCATGTATGAAAAGTTAACATTTTGAAAAAAATAGAATATATCATGGAGCATCTCATGAATAATATAACGATATTTTCTAATATACCTCATAAGTACTATGAGGAAAAATCTTACTATATTATAGAAAATATAGTACAAGTAAATATCACCATAAGATGATGGATACAAGAAAAACGATATGAGATATATAGAAAAAGCACAGAATAAAAGAAAAATAGAAAATGAAATTAGTAAAAAATAAAGTAAAATATAGAGGAAATGGAAAAAAAGGAAAAGCAAACGACAAATTAAATTTGAACAGGTTTTTCTATAAGAATATGAGCACAATATGGGAGCAATCCAAAACACAATTTGAAACATCTCATAGATTAACATAAAAATAAATAGGAAAAATAAAAGTGTAAAGTTGTTTGCGAGAAAAATACCGGAATAAATCAAAACACTCCAACGAACATCGCAGGACATACCAATCAAGAGAATAAAAATCCTATGGATGTAAAATGAAGAAAAAATACAAAATTAAACAAAACAACAAGATTAATATAAAATAGAATTAAAAAATGAAAAGCAAAGTTACAAGAAATAGAAAAAGAATAATATTATAGTTCTAGAAAATTATATTCAAGGTCATGATAATATTGTAGGTTCAGTATAATAACATTCTAGTTCAACAAAATAATATTCGATGTCGAGAAGAATATTATTCCAGTGCACAGTAGAAAAGGGGAAAGAAAAAAATAAATGGAATGAAAGAAAAAAAACAAAAGGAAAAAATCATGCAATTTGTTTACAATAAAAAAGAAACAAAAGCATGAACAAAACCAAGAAGAGAAATGATCAACAAACCCCAACAAACTTAATTTGTTGGACTCAAACATATATTTTTTTTAGGGGAATTTGACTCAAACTTTTATATATGATATATGGGCTGAACCGAAATGCATGGACGAACATAGAGCAACCAGGCGAGTACAATACATGAAGCAAATTTGGTCCAACAATAGCCCACTATTAAAATACAGCAAAGCACATGCAACCAAGCTATTATGGTGGGAAGGACATTCGACCCAACAATATCCCAATACAAGAAAAACACGAAGTGATGGGAGGTGATCGGAGTGTTGCTACCATTTGACTGGTCGATTAGATGATTCCTGAAACTTCTAGGGGGATTCACTCATTCCATGTTTTCCTCTCAAGAGAGAGAATGGGCTCGGTTCATGCACTTTTTAAGGGAAACTAGAAGAACACCCCGCGTGTTTGCGGGAATGACATGTAAAATTATGCTCTTTATATTTACTAATATGAATAAATAAATATCATAATACTATAGGTTAGTGGATGATTTTTAGCATCCTGGTGTGGACAACTCAATATATATGTTAGTAAATGATATGGTTTGCTAATGTGAATAGTTTGAATGAAGACATAATGACATGTGTTAGTTGGATATGTTAGTGGATGCTGATATGGACACTTTGCATGGCAAGATAGTTACATGTGCTAGTGGGTTGTTCTAGTGGGTACTAATGTGGATACTTTGCATCACAAGATAAATTGCTAGTGGGGTTTGAATATATATATATATATATATATATATATATATATATATATATATATATATATATATATATATATATATATATGTATGCATGCATTACGTTTGGGAGAAAAAGGATCTCGATCGTTTCATATAGTACTTTTTAGGCATGCACAAAAGATAATGTTTTAATTTTAAAAAGGATTAAGTTCACTTTTAGTCCTTCAACTATTGGGTTCGTCTAATTTTGACCCTCAACTATAAAACCGTCTAATGTTAGTACCTCAACTGTCAAAACCGTTCACTTTTAGCACCTGGACGCGGGTGAGGCTGTTTTGTCCAACGTAGAGCGGTTTTGTCCATCTCAGTGACATGTGGGGCCCACGCGTCATCGACTCAACCCCTCCCTCTCCGTTCTCACGGCCACTCCCCCGACGCCTCCTCTCTCCCAGCAGCGGGCAGCGATCACGATCTTGCTCCCTCATGCGGCTCCCTCATGGCGTTGCTCGGGCAGTACCGGCGCCGCTTCCACGCCACAAGACGTGGGCATGGCCCGCCTCGTCGTGTCGCTCCACCTCCCGGGCGCGCGGCTGGCCGGCGAGTACATGGACGAGGCGTCGCGGCTCTGTGACGCGTGCCGCGCGCTATGGCTCGGCGCCACCGCCGTCGAGGGCTACGCTGGCAGCTCCGCCCAGCTCGCCTCGCTACTCATGTAGGCGCCCTCGAGCCCCCACCTCTCGAGATAGGTAAGTAGTGATATTCTTCTTCTTGTTCTCCTCCCGAGTCCCGAGCAACGACGGAGAAAGAAGCTGCTAGCTCAAGTTGAAGCAATAATAGCATCCAACGACTGGAATGGCCGGTGTCACGTGCGATCAGCATGTGCAGGCGCGAAGCCACGGCGCTCAAGGAGGAGAACCGCGCACGAAGGCGCTGGCGCGCTGCGCCTCGGCCGAGGGCGCCCTCGCCGACGCCAAGCTGGACGGCTTCAACGGCTTCCACGGCGTGTTGTGCGCCACCGGATGCTCACCTCCTTCCTGCTCACGCTCCTCTCTTGGGCGTGCTCCACTCATCGCCCGCCCGAACGCGGGCGTCGGGGATCACCGCGCCACCTACTTCGCACGCCATTCGCTGGCGGCGCTGTCCCTGCTGCAAGCAGCCAAGCCCAGCCGCGGAGGCCGGCAGGTCCGTGGCCGCCCGCCGCGCTTCAGCCGGCAGCGCCGGGTGATGATGCTTTGGCAGGTCCGTAGGCATGCCGTGCTTTGTTCGCGCGGACGGCGGCGGCGGGGTGATGATGCACGAAGTTCCAGTGCGGCGCGGCGGTGGAGGAGGACAAGGACGCCCGTCGGCGCGGGCGGCGGCAGCAAGGTGGAGGTGGGATCACGCGCTGCATCACGCGTGCGAGGACGTGCTGGCACTCATCAACGACCTGTTCGACGAGGTGGAGTCCAGGAAGAAGCTGCTGGACCTCTGCTTGGGTCGTCCCCGCCGCTGTGGCATCTCACCACCGCCCACGCCCGCGAGAGGAGTGGAGGCCAGCACTGCCGCGTCGGAGGGAGCAGCGCCCGCCCCGCTGCGCGCGGAGAGAGGAAGCGTCGGGGGAGTGGCCGTGAGAACGGAGAGGGAGGGGTTGAGTCGATGACGCGTGGGCCCCACATGTCACTGAGATGGACAAAACCGCTCTACGTTGGACAAAACAGCCTCACCCGCGTCCAGGTGCTAAAAGTGAACGGTTTTGACAGTTGAGGTACTAACATTAGACGGTTTTATAGTTGAGGGTCAAAATTAGACGAACCCAATAGTTGAGGGACTAAAAGTGGACTTAATCCTTTTAAAAATGAGATATTAATAGCCAGGTAAACTTTCATAAACATATATGGACCTAGTTCTAATGGAAGGATTTACAAAAATTTGTCAGTGTCAACAGAGCCTGATCCCCTGAATTTGCCCTACCAACCTGGCAAAACTAATTAACACAGTTAAATACTAGCCATTTTAGCTCTGCTGAGCTCTAGTTTCTCTAGCCAAGGAGCTTTTCTGGTAGAGTTGAAGCCCTTTAGAAAAATGTTTGGCAAAATGTGGATAATTTTGGGGGCATGTTAGAGGGTTTAGCCTGAGAATCCACTTTTGTTTCCCCTCTTGCCCTAGTGCAAGTCGTATTGTGGCTTTTGTGGGGCTTTTTTCCTTTTACTCATTTAACATGGTTTGACCTAAAGTCGGTGGAGAAGCTAGTGCAAAAGCCCTACCAAATAGGTCCTTCCTTGAAAACAACTTGATGGAAAAAATGATAC